GCATCGGGCTCCCTGCTCTGCGGGAAGCCTGCTTCTCCCTCTGACCCTCTGCTTGTGTTCCCTCTCTCGCAGTGTCTCTCTCTCTGTCAAATAAATAAAATCTTTAAAAAAAAAAAAAAAAGAATTACAGTTCAGTATTTAAAAATATTTAAAAGGTAATCATCATATTCCTTATGCTATAAATTTAATTATTTTCTGTCTTTGGAGTCAGCAAGAAAATGTGACTACAAAATTTGCATTTCATCTTCTTAAAAATTTTCACTTAGTATGAGTTTGGAATGGATAGTGGGTGGGAAAAAACTTGAAGGTTAAATGGTAGACTATAATGAATAACCCTTAAAATAGTGCCTATGATAATTCTGCATTGAAGTTTCTGTTCAATTGAAAGATAATTTTTCTGAATAGTTTTACTGAGTTCCATAATTAAAAGGCTAGGGAGAATAAGAAATGTAAGTATTTGGCTTAAAGTGAGCAAATGAATGCAGAATGTACCACAGTCTAGAAGTACTGTAACAAAGTGGTAGGTTTTCAAGCTGTATTGGCCTCTAGCAAATAGGCTAGGCCATTTTTTTATGTCTTTTGGTCAAAAAGAACAATGGAACACCAGAATCAGACCTCTAATTGAACACGTTGGGTTTATTACTTGTTGCACTGAGGAAGAATGCTCACCATGGGTAAACTCTGAAGCACATCAGTCAGTAAGAGGATATTAGAAAAAACATAACATAGGATTTGGGTTTAGTATAGTAGACATTGGCTTATTTGTGGGAGGGTTAGAGGAAATAGAGCCTTACTTTGGATTGGGTGCTCTCAGAAAGTGGCGGCAATTCTGTGCTTGGTTATCTCAATAAATCTTATCTGTAGGGAGGACAGACTACAGTGAGGATAAAACTGTGATTTATTTTCTTTAAAAAAAGTAGCCATCACTCATTTAGTCAGAGAGAGAGGTTTGATATTTCATGGTTGCACAGTGACCTTGTCTAATTTGAATGTGGAGGTGATTTTATGTTCAGGAGAACAACATGGCTTAGCTGTAAGCATCAAGTCGATTTATAACTAGGTCTAGCTATGAGCCTGAGATTAAGTTCCCAGGTGTCAGAGGCTGTTTTTCTCCCCCCTCTCCAGCTACAGCAAGTGTATCCAACCATCATTCCTACAGGTAATGGTGATGATGAGTAAATATCCAGTGTGAAAACAATTTTCTTGTTTCCTGTATATCTTCGTCCGTAAAACACTTCTGTTTTATTCCATTAGAGACTGGTGACATTGTTTTCTCCAGGACGAAGTCCTTGCATCTTTTGCTTGCCTTACTGCACTGGCTAGGTAATGGTAATAGGGAACATCCTTGTCTTGGTTCTGATCTTACTTCACCATTAAGTATGACATCTGTAGTTTTCTTTGTAGATAACTTTTATTACATTTGTTCTCAGTTTTCTGAGAGTTTTAATTATGAGTCAGTGTTGAATTTTGTCAAATGAATGTTCTGTATCTGTTGAGATGATCTCATGTTTATTTTCACCCTTTATTCTGTTCATGCAGTGAATTTTGAATTCATTGCTTATATTTTATTTATGTATGTATGTATTTAAATAGGGAATTTACTGTCTCGTAGTTCTATATGCTAGAAGTCTGAAATCAAGGTGATCTAGGGCCATGCAGACCTCTCTGCTAGCTGTGACTTGTGACAGCCAAACTCCAGTTTTTACATGGCTCTCTGTGTGCATATCTGTATCCAAATTTTCCCCTTTTTGGGCAACCCTGTCGGGACCCCTCTTACTCTTGAGAGCTTTTTCTATATCTTCGCTTAATAGACTTCTATTGCTTTACTAAAAAAAAAAATTTTTCCCCCTTTTTATAAGGATACCAATCATGGTGGGTTAGGGCCCACCCTAATGACGTTATTTTATCTTTATCTCTGCAAAGACTCAAATTAAATACGATCACATTCTGAGGTGTTGGGGCTTAGGGTTCTAATATATTTTTATCACATGGACACCTTGATTCAACCTGAAATAAAGCCATTATGATTCATGACTCACTTATAATCTGCATTGCTTGATTTTTTTTTTTTTTTAGTATGAAACCAACCTTGTATTTTTTTAATGAGCTTCACACAGTCATAATGTATACCTTTTTAAGGAACTTTTAAATAACTGACATGTGAAAGAATAAGTCATAATGGAAATTACTAAATATTTTAAGAGCAACAATGAAGATATAACGCATCAAAATATGAGATGCAGCTAAAGCAACCTTCAAAGGGAAATTTATAGCTTTATGTGTATTGCAGAAGAGGAAAGATAGAAAATTAATGATTAATGTTAAGCATGATGCAGAACTGCCAGACTTTTCCAGAGCAGCTGCACCATTTTATAATCCCACCAGCATTGATTGTGTGATTGTCTCCTTACCAGTACTCATTATTCTCTTTGATTATAGCCATCCTGGTGTGTATGAAGTGTTATCTCATTGCAGTTTAATTTACATCTCTCTGATGACTAGTAATGTGAGCATCTTTTCATTTTTAGTGCTTATTGGCATTGGTTTATTGGCAATTTATATATCTTTTAGAGAAATGTCTATTCAATTCTTTGTCCATTTTTTAAAAAAGATTTATTTATTTTAGAGAGCGAGTGAGTCTGTGCTCCCTTGAGCAGGGGTGGGTGGGGAGAAGTGGAGGGAAAGGGAGAGGAAGAGAATCTCAAGCAGACTCTCCCTGCCAAGTGTGGAGCCCGCCATTGGGCTCGATCCTACAACCCTGAGATCATGACCTGAGCTGAAATCAAGAGTCAGACTGAGCCACCCAGATACCCCAATTACTTTGTCCACTTATAATAGGGTTATTTTTGTTACTATTCAGTTGCAATAGTATTTTATTTTTTAGATGCATGTCTCTTAGATAAATTACTTGCAAATATATGATTTGCAACTATATCCTGTCATGTGAATTGTCTTAGCAATTTTTTGATGGTAATCTTTTGTAAATATGTTACAGTACGGTTGATCTAGATATGCCTGGTTGTAAATGTAATCTTATGTGTTTCTTAATTTTCCTTATCTGTATACCTCTTTTCCATTCCTCTACTGTTTTTGGTCTCTCATAGTTTTATTTTTCTTTGTCAGCTTTTTTGCTGCATATGCTTATGTGTCTCCTTCAGATTCTGACTTCATTAGTTTGCTGAGAATTAAAACTAGAAACTACTCACTTTTTCCTTTTTTTCTCTCCTTCCTTCCTTCCTTCCTTCCTTCTTTCCTTCCTTCCTTTCTTTCTTCAGCTCCCTCCCTCTCCCTTTCTTTCTTTCTTTCTTTCTTTCTTTCTTTCTTTCTTTCTTTCTTTCTTTCTTTCAATGAATGGCCTTAATTGTTTGCAATAGGAAGTGGAAGAAGAGGGGATATGACAGTTCCAGGACCAAGGGTAGCTCTAAAGACCTACTCTTGCTGTCCCCGCCCCAAAAGCTAGTCACTTTTTTTTCCTAATCTTCCTGATAATTGATCTTCTCTGGTTTGTACCTGTCATCAATTTTGTATTACACAAATCCAATTAATATGAAAATTAACACATAGCAAGGATTATTATGCTTTCTGTATGTTATTATTTCAAAATTACATAAAGGGCTGCTTACCTATAAGATCAGTTTGCAGTTCATCTATGATTAGGTGGCTTCTGTTTCAATTATTAAACTCTCTCTCTTTCTCTTTTTAAAGATTCAAAATGGATAGTATAGAAGAACCTCAGAAAAAAGTCTTTAAGGCTCGAAAAACAATGAGAGTGAGTGACCGTCAGCAACTTGAAGCAGTGTACAAGGTCAAAGAAGAACTGTTGAAAGCTGATGTCAAGCTGTTAAATGGCAACCATGAAAATGGAGATTTGGACCCAACCTCACCTTTGGAAAATATGGATTATATTAATGACAAGGAAGAGGTGAATGGCATTGAAGAGCTTTGTTTTGATCCTGAAAAAAGTAAATCAGAATGGAAAGAAACCTCTTGTACCTTAAATGTTAATATAAAAAACAAGCAGGATGATGATTTAAAGCATGAACCTTTGTCTCCTAATAGTATAGCTCCTGAACTAGTCTGTAAACTGACTGCTGAACCAGCTTCTGATGAGCCAGCCTCTGTTGAGCTGGCTATGGCAGATCCAGCTTCTGGAGATTCAGCCCCTGAAGATCTGGCCTCTGAAGTATTAACCTCTGGCGATCCTGCCTCTAGTGATCCCGCCTCTGGTGATCCCACCTCTGGTGATTCCACCTCTGGTGATATCACCTCTGGTGAAACAGTTTCTAATGAAACAGTCTCCAGTGAACCTTTCTCTGGTGAATTGGTCTCTGGTGAATCGGTCCCTGATGAATCAGTCTCTGGTGAACCAATCTCCAGTGATCCAGCCTCTGGTGATTTAGCTTCTGCTGATCTGTCCTCTGGAGCACTGGCCTCTGATGATCCAGCCTCTGGTGATCCAGCTTCTGGTAATCCAGCCTCTGGTGATCAAACCCCCAGTGATCTGGCCTCTGATGAACCCACTTCTGATGAACTGACTTCTGAATCAGCTTTTCATCCCACCTTTGAACCAAGTTCTGTACCAGTCTGTGAACCTGTTCCTGAAACTGACAGTACAGAGCCTAGTAGCAATAAAGGTGATGATTTTCTTGAAAAAAATGGGGATGATGAAAAGTTAGACCAGATTTTCTCATTTGATGAGAAAAATAAAGCTGACAGTAATATCGATGCTGATGAAGAAACCCTGGAAACAGATGATACAGTTATTTGTTCAGATCTACCTCCTGAAAATGAAAAGAAGGCAAAGGAAGATGCTGTCACAGAACCTGCTCTTGGAGAGGAGGCTATATCTAGCAGTATGGAAATTGACCAAAGTGAAAAGAATGAAGATGAAAATTCTGCAGACCTTGCAGAAACCATTAGTGAAAATGTTATAAAAGACGACAAAAATGAGATTATCTTGGAAAATACAGATTCTATGGAGACAGATGAAATTATTCCTATTTTGGAAAAGCTTGCACCTGCTGAAGATGAACTTACTTGCTTTTCTAAAACTTCTCTCCTTCCAATTGATGAGACAAATCCAGATTTGGAAGAGAAGATGGAAGGTTCTTTTGGTTCACCATCTAAACAAGAAAGCAGTGAGAGTTTGCCAAAAGAAGCCTTTTTGGTCCTCTCTGATGAAGAGGATCTTTCTGGTGAAAAAGATGAATCTGAAGTTATATCACAAAATGAAACATGCTCTCCAGGTTAGCATATTACTTAAGTTTTAAAAATTTTGTTTAGGTTTAATAAACTGCTTAATAAAGCATTCTTATCATGTTTAAGTTTTTTTTAGTTGCTGAGAAAGTTGAGAATGATGTGACTGGAATGATCTCTAAACTTCATAAATTCTTAACAGAATTTAGCAACATTGTGTGAATTGATAAGAAGGGAGTTAAAATAATTGGAAAATATGGCCTTTGCCCTTAAGGGGCTTATGGTCTAGGCATAGAGAGATAAGCTGGACCGTTGATCAAAGTCCTAACAATTGTTCTTGCTATCACTTAGCAACCAAATAACTTAGAATGTAAAAGCCTTCTTGTTTAAATTATTTGCTTCAAGTGTAACAAATTACATTTTACAATTAATTTTCCCAGTGAAATATGATTCCTTTAATATTCTTTGTTAGAGAATGACACCACTATTGCTAGAATCCAGAAACCCTGAAGACTGATAATCTATTTGATAAAGACTTCATCCATTTGCTTCCTCAGGCTTCTTGATTCTCTTCCCCCCGCATCTTCTGAATGATCTCTCTGTAACTTAAATCTGTTTTGATTGTGTTCTTCTCTTTTGTTGGATCCCTGTTACTTTTAGATTAATTCCAAACTCTTTAAATAAAAGGAATATAAACTTCTTAGTCTGTTCAAAAGCCTGTCTTTCCATCTCTTCTGTTATTCCTGGAGAAAAAGGAAAGAATGAGAAAAATCCTATTTTGCTTTCATGGTCAAACTCAAACATGATTTCTATTTGAAATTTTCTGAACTCTTTTCAGAGTGGCATTAATACCTTTATGTTCTTACTGTATCACCATTCCCTTAGCCTTAGAACTCTGAGAGGAGTGACTTTGTAGTATGAAACATAGCATTTGGTTTCTAATTTGTTCAAAAGAAATAAGAGACAGGCCTAGGAGACATAGGGATGTTTTTTCCCACAATATATTGGAGGCAAAGATTTTTTTTCTTACTAGATTTTCAGAGAGCATTTATTCATTATTAAAGCTATATTGAGAGACAGGCTAAGCTGTTTTGGTTCTGGGGATTTAAAGATAAAATTTAGTACTTGTCCTCAGGATGCAGACAGTTGCAGGACATTAAATACAAGGCTGTGAACACACTAATAATGTTAAATTGATATTCTGGGAGTGTAGAGAAGGGTAACTTTATAAAAACATAGATGTATTTATATAACGTAGGGTTTTAGTGAGGATAATCCCTCTTAATTGTAGCTCCGTCCTACTTGCTCAGGCCAAAATCTTGGAGCCATTCTTATTTTTTTCTTTATATTGCATATCTTACCAGTTTATCAGGAAATCCTCTTGGCTCTGCCTTCAGAGTAGATTTAGAATCCAGTCTCTCTTATCATCCACTATCATCACCCTTGTTCTGAGCCACCATCATCAGGCCAAAATAATGCTTGGCTTACAGTCAGTGCTTAGTAAATATTTGTAGAATGAGTGAATAATTGATAATATAAGAGAAGTATATCATGAAGGACCTTGGTTACCATGCCATTGAATGTTTCAAGCAGAGGAGAATGACATAATGAAGTTACATTTTGGAAAGATAATAGGTAACCATATTTAAGGTGACCTTAACTCATTCATTGAATAAGTATTTATAGAGAAAGTAGTATTGGGGTAAGTCCTTAAAAAACCTTTTGGTAGTCCTAACAAATTTCAGATTATTATTTAATGAGTTTATACATTTTACCTTTATGTGAGGGTTTTGATCTTAGGGACCATCCTTCCCACTTAATGCTATTAAATGCCATGAGATGACTGTTAAGCCGCCCATGTTGCATACTTTGAAAATTCAAACTTGCGTTTATTTTTGGTTACTCACTTTTATTTATTTATTTAAAAGATTATTTATTTATTTATTTGAGAGAGGAGTGAGTGAGAGAGTGAGCATGAGTGGGGGGAGGAGCAGAGAGAGAGGGAGAAACAGACTCCCCACTAAACAGGGAGCCCGATGCTGGGGCTCGATCCTGGGACTCTGGGATCCTGACCTGAGCCAAAGGCAGACGCTTAACTGTCTGAGCCACCCAGGCGCCCCAGTTACTTACTTTTACTTTTATCTGATTGTATGGTATTAGCAGAGTAAGTGTAGTGATAGATTTAATTTCTTAGCTGATAACTAAACTTTTATTTCCTGCCCTCCCTTCCCCAATCCCCAGGGAAATTTTGTGTATAATACGTAAAGTATAGTTTCTTCATTGGTCTTAAAACTGTACTGTGTTCTCTTTACATGGGAGCGGAATCTGTTACAGTTGTCTTCTTTTATCAATGGTTTCACTTTCCATGGTTTCAGTTTTTGCAGTTTTATCTTTTTTTTTAAAGATTTTATTTATTTGAGAGAGAATGAGATAGAGAGCATGAGAGGGGCAGGGTCAGAGGGAGAAGCAGACTCCCTGCTGAGCAGGGAGCCCGATGCGGGACTTGATCCCCGGACTCCAGGATCATGACCTGAGCCGAAGGCAGTCGCTTAACCAACTGAGCCACCCAGGAGCCCCAGTTTTTACAGTTTTAGTTAGCCACAGTCAGCCATGGTCTGGAAGCAGATTATTCTCTTCCTAACTTATTCTCAGTAGTATTAACTTTCAAGGTCAGTAGTATCCTAATGCTGCATCACAATACCTATGTCATTCATCTCACTTCATCTTATTACATACGCATTTTAACATTTCACATCATCATAAGAACTGTGAGTATAGTACAATAAGATAATTTGAGAGAGAGACCATATTTATATAACTTTTATTGTAGTATATTGTTATAATTATTTTTAGTTATTGTTGTTCATCTCCTGTGCCTAATTTATAAATTAAATTTTATCATAGGTATATGTATAGGAAGAAACATACAGGGTTCAGTACTGTCCATGGTTTCAGGCACCCACTGGGAGTCTGGGAACATAGCCCCTGCAGATAAAGGGGGACTATAGTACATGTCATTTTTATTGCTGTGTACCTTCTGAGATATTACTTTCATCATTTTTTTATTCTTGACCAATTTTTTTTTTAGATTATTTATTTGAGAGAGAGCAGGAGGAGGGGTGGAGGGGCAGAAGGAGAGGGAGAAGCAGACTTCCCACTGAGCAGGGAGCCCTATGGGCTCGATCCCAGGACCCTGGTATTCTTGACTAATTTTTAATGTTTTCAGAACACAGAATTATAAACTGAAGTACTGAGGACCACTTCTTCCCTCTAGCTACTAACATTTATGTGCTGTACTAATAGGAAAACATAAACCTCTGTCATTTCAGGTACTTCTTTAGCAAATGTGTTTTAAATATAACAGTTACAATAGCTATGAGCAGCAACAAAAAATAATGAAAGATATCAGAAAGCAAATAAAAAAGCCATTTTAATTTTACAATAGTAAGAGAAAGGCCTAAGAAAGTATTGCAGATATACTGAGTAGGCCTGAAGATACTGTCATATTGTTGCACAGTACTGTATGATAACTGATATTCATTAGATGATTAAAATGATAATCTGTTTATTAAGAAGGCTAGGAAAATAAAGATTTCTGTCTGGAAAAGTTTAAACAACAGTAGAAGAGGTACATCCATTAGTTTATCTTCATTCACTTTCCAGGCCATGTACTCTTTATCTAGCTCCTGTTCCATCTCTTTACTCTCTTTCATAGTCATTCTTTAAATTCTGTTAATAGGCTAGCACTATTTTTTCTCTTCCTCTTATTCTTTAATTGGATTTTGATTTTCATCTTGCCAGTCCCCCCTCCTTGTTTTCAGTGAAGTGACATTGATGCTCATATTGTTAAAAACCAGGGATTTAAATCCAAAATTTTGTCTTTATTGTCTCACACTTGGATGCTCTCTTTAATAGTCCCTTCCTCTTGAGACTCTAGCTTTTGGGCTATGGCATTCTCCATTTTTCATCCTTCTTGGCCCTTCTCATTTTGTTTCTTAATGGAGAAATAGGAGGGAGAGCTCTTCTCTGCCTGCTTTTTTGTTTTATAAACATTGCTATTTCTTAATATTTTTGAGGAGAAAAATATGTTTTAGATTAAAACAGATTTTACACTAAATTCTGATACAGTTTCCTTCCAAATTTTATTTCATTTTTTT